GGGTGAGCGGTGGCCATTGCAGAAGCAGCGGCCCTTCACGATGAAGTCGTAGACGGCGTAGTGCAGGGTTGGCGGGGGTTGTGGGGTCCGGGGCTTCGGGTCAGGCGGGAGGCAGGGGCAGCCCTGCCACTCCAGCAGTCGCAGTCTCAGGTTGGTGATCTTCAGCTGCGCCTGGGCTTCCGCGCTGTATGGGTCCTCCACAGCGTAGGGCGGTGACAGGGCTCGGTATATCACCTGGGCAGAGAAATGCAGCAAGGGAAGCGGAAAGGAGGATGTCAGCCAGCCCTGTGGCTGTGGGGCTGGGGTTGGGATGGCGACGGGAGCATCCCCTGGTAGCACGCACCAGGTTCTCCTGACGGTCTTCCCCCTCCGCAAGCGGCAGGAGCAGGAAATCCACCACCACTCCAAGTGTGCGCAAAAAGTGCCCCCCCTTGGTCCCCATGCCCTTTTCCATAGGAAGTCCGGACCCTACGGGTGTGAAGTGGTAATTCAGCATTAACTTCAAGCGGAGGTTGCTGCTGCTGGTACGCGGTGTGGCCCAGCACAGGGACCGGCAGTTCTGCAGGTGATGCACAGGCAGGGGACCCTTTGTTAACCTTCCCTCCCCATGTTAAAAAATGGGTGTATTTTTTAACAAATAAAGCTCAGATTTCCAAATATTTTGCTCCTATCAGTCCCAGGATGCTTCCTAGTGGAAAAGTGATGAGGTGTGGCAATTAGTGACAGCAAGCTGATAGTCGAGAAAACCGAGATAAGAAAGAAAGAAAAGTCGGGGCTTCTGGAGTTTAGACAAATACTTATCAGCCAGTCTTTATTATAACTTCAGTCTGATTGAATAGTTAAATATTGTCTCAAATTGGAAATTGAGAGCATTAGATAAAAACTACTACTTTTCTTGAAGAAGTTTATTTTAAACTTGTTGGTCTAGCTGCCTACAGCGTGACATCAGAAACAGTATGTACTTCATATAACTACCATTGGCATAAAATGACACATTTATGACACATGTATTAATTAGCAGTACATTTAACTTACTAAACTAACTAAAGTTAAACTTTCTAAATAGTTAAACAGCTCTTCACTGAATAGCCACTGCAGGCTTGATGAACCACAATATTTATAAGCAATGTTCAGTCAGTCACTTGATGAGTGTTTGAGGGGGTGACACAGCCTAACAGCTTGATGCGCTGCTCCCAGCAGCAGCTTAAAACCTCCCCAAGCTGCCCTGATGCCCTGCTGACAACCACCCACGCTACCTGGAACGCCGGCCAGCCTCCTACAGACAGCAAGGAGGTGTGTGGCAGGGAAGGGCGACCATCGTTTCTTGCCAGGAGGTGCTGTGGGATGCCTGGCGAGAGGCAGCGTGCGAGCCTGCCAGCGCCACTCACGAGGACCACAGCCTCCTCTCCCTAAATCCACTCCTCCCAAACGATGTGGCTGACACACTTCAGCTGATGAATTCTTCCCTTTTATTTCACCAGGATTCACGGATCCTGGAAATAATGACCCCTGTGCTGCCAGCTCTCCTGCCTGCGGGCTTTGCCTGTTGGCTGCCACCTCTGCCAACCCCACCACTGCTGGCATCGGTCCTGGCCAGGACCTGGCTGTTCTCCAGAGCTGCCAGGATCCAGCCAGAGGAAGCTTTGTCCTGGCCTGGAAAGAGATTCAGAGCTTGTTTTGGAGCTGAATGGTGGCAGTGTGCTCTTGCGTGGCCCATCAGCCTGCCAAGCGCGGTCACTACCAGTGGCCGGTGACAGCAGGGCTCAGGTGCGCTGGTGCCGGACACTATGGGCTGGCAAGCACATTGTGGCTGCTGCCTTGTGCCACCCTCCTGCAAACACTCCCTCCCAAAGGTATTCCAGCATCTTCTGCCGGAAAGACATAGATAAGGGAGAAGGTTAACCAGGAGAGGTGGTCAGAGGGCAAGGCTGGTGAGCGGTACGCCCCTTGTGAGGAAGGGTTGAGTCTGATGAGGGATATTAATAAATAACAACACATTTCAGAAGTTTTTTTTTGTTTCCTCCCTTTCAGGAACATACAGAGTTTTTTCTGCTTTCCTAATATAAAAATGTCCACTAGATACGAACAAAAACCCAAGAAAACCAACTATTAGGTCCTGCACCTCTCCCCAAGGCTTGTTATTTACCCAAATTTAAATCTATGTCACTCTGATCACATTTACTCGTTAGTGGCTTTGTGAACAGCAGATGCTTTCAGATATGGAAAGAAAACTCCTAGGGAAACATCCAGAGCGGAGACATTGATTTTCTTTTAATGGAGACGATGGAAAATGCCGGGCTGAGAATTATCAGTAAAAACTAGCATTTTTGGGTTTCTTGTTATTACGTAAATCACATCTCAGAGAATTCTCTGTTTGTCCTGATTCAGATGAAAGCAGCGAAGGAAATGTGTAAATGGAAACAATTTATGCTAGATGCAGCTGCAGACTTTCCTCTTCTCATTTTCAACTTTTCTTGTTTATCTATCCCCATTTAATGCACATGACTGATGCTTGTAGTTCTAGCAAAGAAAATCCCAGCGAGGAAATCAATAACCCTGAGTGCCTTTGCACTGAGAGAGTTAAATCTTGTCTGTGTGGAATTCAGGGGGAGTTCTGCTGCTGATTTCAATGGAGCCAGTATTCCCGCTCAGGCTCTAAAATGTTACAAACATTTCTTTTTATGGCTACTTTAAAAAAGTAATGCCAAACATGAGCCCTATCTGTAATTCCCAGAGGCTGCGGGCTCTCAGCCACTGTCCCCAGCTGCCCAGTATCGCTCCGGCCGTGCCCGACAGCCCCGGACACAGCTTCAGAGCCGCGCTGCACCCTGCAGCCGTGCAACGCAATGGGGTGAGCCTGGTCTCAGTGCTGCCAAGACAGTAAACACACTCATCCCTCCATCCCAGACACTGGCAGCTCTCCTTTAATAAAATACAAACCAGTCATTATACCATGTAGGATGCCATACAAATAGCAATTTTCTGCTCTACCCTGGAGGACTGAGCTGGAGACCCCAGAGGCTGCATAATAAGGTCAAGAACGTGTTTCCCAGCAAGTTTTCCCTGTTCATTTGTTAACTTTGCTGATTTATCCCAGTCTGTCTCTGGAGTCAGCACATCACTGGGGCCACACCACCCTCATACAGCAGTTCTGGGTCTGCACCCCTGTGCTGCCCAGCACCTCAGCTCCACATACGCACATGGCCAGGTAACAGCTTTCCTGCTTTTACCTCTCCTTGGACTTTTCTGTGCAATTGTCCCACTGTTAGGACTGGCCCTGGTGTGCAGCATCCCATCTATGAATGAACCATGGTTTGCACAGCAAACCTGACTGGGTTTTCACACCTACAGTTCTGCTGGCAGCCCCTGGCCACTGTGGTCAGAGGCCTCCTCAGCCAAAATATTATTTAGTTTTAACAGTGCAGAGGAAGTACGTAGGCAGGATTTGAGAAGAACATTCTGCCTACATGCATGTGTCTCTGATGCTAGAGTTTTGCAAGCCCACCATCTCCCTGATGCCACCAGGCAGGAATTCCTCTGATTGACTCTGTTGGGCCACCATGCCCCAGCCACCCTGGGACTATCGTGGTGACGTGCCCAATCCACAGCCATCATTTATTCTTCCCAGCAGCTCCCCGAAGCCCTCCGGGTTTATCTTGCTAAAGCCACACAGAAAACATGCGCGCCCGGCTCAACCTGCAAGAACAGAAACTCTCCGCCACCACAGTTGCGGTCTTGGTACACGTCACGTCAGCTTTTTAGCTGTTGGGACAGCCCCTCTGCCAGACATGATAGGGGGACAGCAGTTCCCTCCCACCCCTCTGAGAAGGTGCTACCTACAGAGGCATCAAGTTCATTACTCTTATCCCAAAATTGCTGGAAGTCATGCCCGAGGGTCCTGCCAAAGAGAGCTGTGTTGTGATTACACAAAGCAGATATATAGCTCAATGAGGTACAGGAGAACATCTTTTTTGATAGAAGATGCTGTTCCTGTTTTCACAGAGCAGGGCCTCTGCCAGGAGAAAGTGCCAGTATGCACAGGGGAATGCACACCTCCCCTTGATTAAGAAGCAATGGCAGCAAAATCTGGCCATTAGCCTACAGCGAGCCTCACTAGAAAGCAACCCATGGTGACCAGACCTCCATCTTTCCCACTCAAGTCTGTCTGCATGCAGGTATCTTACTGACAATATGTAAAAGCTCAGCATTACAATGTTGGCCGGAAAATGTGCCTTCTCCCAGCAGTCAGCATCATGTGTGATAGTAAAGGGTGCGGGGTCTGGATCTTTACATTAGCAGCTCTTTAGTGCATGTACTAATTCAAATTTTCTGTTTTGTAGAACAAGTAGGAAGTAATAAACTGAAAACCCACAGTACTTCTGTGCTAGACATCCCATAATATATTGTATCAGAAAGATATTTTCATCCCTAGTGTTGCTAGGTCACTACAAACCTATATATATATTTGGGATTATTGCTAGCTCACTATAAATCTTATGGTATTTGGGATTCTTCTTAAACACAGTTCCAGGAACTGAATCTTTATCTCAGCTTCCATTTAAAACTAAGCACCTAGTGATATCTCATATCTGAGGACCAAATGTCACACACCAGGAGGCAAATAAAAAGAACCTGTCTTTAAAACAAAATATCAGTATTTGGGGTAGTGCTACTTCCACGTCACGTGTAATTCTGCTGTTGGATCCCACATCCTATAAACACAACATCTGCATGAAGCAACATTAATAGAGAAGTGATTTAAAACTTGAATGAGGACTGTTTAGTGGGGGAGAAGTCTTTCTACACAGCCAAATAGGAACTGTAGACTGCGATCCCTGAGTGAGGAATGCCACTGCCATGCCTCGAGAGGGTCAGGTGAACCTGGAGGGATGCCTGGCAGCGGCAGGAGGAAGCCCACTCCACTCCCAGGGGAGCAGGAGAGGAGAAGATGCCTCGCAGCTTTTTTTATATTCTGCCCCTCAGAACAGAAAAATATTCTGCTCTTCAGCCAGACTGCTCCGGTTGTCTGCGATTTGAACACATCATTACACAGACACCCTCTGATAAATTGCCAAAGCATTTCAAATTCCTTATGGGCTGTCATGAGCAACTCTTGCTCTGTTGATTACTTCACCTTATTTTGTCTTCGTGCGGCAAGAAGCCTTAGCTCCTTGCCATTCCGCAGATGCAGTAATGTAGCCCTGTATATAAATAAAATGGCAGCCATGAACACG